GAGTTAGACAATACCAGAGAACTGCCACTGGGGACCTGAATTACCTAGGTTAGAATCCTCTTCCAGTCACTGGTCCACTGGATAACCTTGGGCAAACACTTGTGAGCCTCAGATTTTCTCATTTGAAAAATAGGAAAATGTGCTGACCCTGTAGGTTGCTTAGTATACCTAAGACTCCAGGTCTTCTGTTCCCTTGTCAGCAGGCTGGCAACAGCCAACCTCCCTGCCACCCTCCAACCATGGCAGCACTGGAGGAAAAAAAAAAATTGATTTCTACACCTGATCTTTCCTCTTTGAAATTGCTTTCCTTGGGGAATTTATAAGCCAGCTTTTGCTTTTATCTTCTGGTGAAAGCCTTTGATCCTCAACAGGTCACGTCTGGCCTGTGAGCCTCACTCTGTCTGTGAAGTGGGTTCATGGCATTTTTTTGCACTTGCCAGCAATTTAGGGAGACACCTGCTACCCTGTCCTCTCAACTGTTAGCTAGCAACACCTCCCCCAAGCCCTCTCTGTTCTTTGAATCACCAAGTGTACTCCTTTAATCTTCAGGGCAGAGAGGTTACCACATTGGCTCTTATTTCCTCCAAGTGCAGACTGGGCTTGGTGGAGATCAAGTTCAGAACAAGAGAATCTTGGGAGGAAGCAAGGTTGAGCTTAATAAGGGTTCACATTTCAGAGCTATGTAAACCCCTTGCTCAATGCTTGATCCACAAAGTTTCAAACTGGAAGGATGTTTCAGAAGTTCACACTGTGAATGTCACTGGCCTAAGGCTACCATGTAACTCCTGACAGTTCCCATGATTTTCCCACCTGGGCTTCTTCTCCCACCTGTGGTTTGCTTTCCTGAAGTCTCCAGGCCCTGTTCCTCATTCTGTCCTCTGGGGAAGACAAGGAAGCTGAGGTTTATTAAACACCTCCTGGTGTCAGGTCCCAGTTGCGTTAGGATAGGGTCTTCCCCAACACCATTTCCCAACCTTCTCTTCCAGGTGTAGGTGACGGCACCCACTTTGCAGATAACTAAACTGAGTCTCTCATGGCCAGTGTTCCTTGGTGAAAGAACCAAGGGCTGGGTTCAAATCCCTGATCTTTTTGCCATGCTGGGGACTGAACCCAGGGCCTTCCAAGTAAGGCAAGTGCTCTACTGCTGAGCTATGTACCCACTTCTGCTCTTTTCTACTTACGGGTCACAAGAATTTCAGTAAGAGACTCAAGCTCCCTGCCTCTGTTTCCCAGTGCAACATTAATGAAAGGGAAGCAAAACATTTACAATGGTTTTGTGCTCAATAAGTGCTGGCTGAATGCTAGTGATAGATACATTGTCATTTTCTAGTGCTTTATGGACATGGACCAGCTACAGGGGTAGGTTGCCAACCAACGAAGATATCTATGTTGGAAGAACCCCAGCTCTCAGCACCCAGCCTGCCAGACCTTGCGAGGGAGGTAACAAAGCTCCTGGAAGGTCCCATGGCACCCTTGGGGACAGTGCCAACGGAGGCAAGGGTCAGGCAGCAAGCCAGCACCATGCTGCCTCTGCTGATGGTGCCAGAGGCACTAGCTGGGCTCTGGCTTCTGTTCCCTTGTCGGCAGGCTGGCAACAGCCAACCTCCCTGCCACCCTCCAACCATGGCAGGCAATGCCCCTTGGCTCCAGCAAATGACACCCTCACCACAGGCACCTCAGCGGAGTCCAGCTAGGATGCCCAGGATCCCAGATCTTCTGCTTGCATGGCCCTGGACAAGACATTGCCTACCTGCTTCCCAGTTTCCTCTACCTTCAGGGATCCCAGGAATCATCTTACATGACAGTTGTGGATCAGGGCCAGGCCCAGGATCAGGATCACCTGAGGCCAGAAAGTCATTTGCCCAAGTTCAGCTTAGCAAGGTTGATAAAGGAGGGGCACGGAGGAGGGCCAAGCTGGGGTCTCAATCTTGTATGGCCCTTTGAATGGGGGTGAGACTACTTCTTATATGGAAAATGGGATTCACACTCCAAGCCTCTCAAAGGCCGGGAAGGCAATGATGTTCTGTCCCAGGACCCTGGGCCCTTCCCTGCCTGGAGGGAAGCATCCTGAACATAGTACTGATGGCTGTGAGGCCAGTCCCAGGTCAAGGTGGTCCCACTCAAGTCTCCCAAGGCTCAGAGAAGTCAGGCCACTTGTCCACAGTGCACAGAAGTAGAGGTGGTCAAATATGCTCACCCCTGCAGCAAGGTCCCCCTCAGCCCACGTCTCTATGTTGTCAACAAGGACAGCAAGGGCCGTGTGCTGGGTGGGTCCTCTGAACCAGGTCTTACTGGAGGCTGTGACCATGCAGTGACAGATCCAGCCTGTGTTCACATAGGGAGCTGAGACTCGTGGAGGTGACATGTCTAAGGCTGCTGAGCAGGGATGGGGACACTGGCCTGCTGACTCCAGGAGAATATGGGGTTTTCAGCCCCTTGTGCCACCTCACCCAACGTGTCTATCCAAACGTGCTCTGAGCCACACTGCTGAAGACTCCCATTTCCTAAGGCCCCAGGTGAAACAGACTGATAAGGTGAAGCCAGCTCCTCCCAAAGAAGCTGGCCAGGAGCCAGTGGAGGACGTTGGAGCCGCTGGCAGGGCCTTCCCTCCAACCACACAGTGTTCTTCTCTAGTTTATTCAGGTGCAGTTCAAAAATATGTATAGGAAGCTGGAGCGCAGCGGGGAGCAAGCAACAGGGGGCCATGCGAGACAAGGGGAAGGGTTTACACAGGAGGTGACCTTGGACAGGGTCAGAGGCCAGAGGTGGAACACATGGGGTGATGTGACAGGGGTCTCCCTGAAAAGGCAACATAGGAACTGAAACCTGGTGGCAGGTGGAGCCAGTCAAGGGAGAGCTGCAGAGGCCGTGGGCTGAGGCGGCCAGTGCGGCTGGCGCAGAGTGTGGCGCAGGGTGAGGAGCTGTGGGAAGGCAGGGCGGGCAGTGGGCCAGGCCTGGGTCAGGCTGCCCTGTGGGCCACAAAAGACTACTTGGTTTTATCTGGGGGGCACCTGGGAGCCATAGGCAGACTCGGAGAAAGACTGGGGCATGACAGATGAACAGTGCCAAGGACTGTCCAAGGTCGCACACGTCTGTTCCAAAAGCCAAGCCAGGGTAGCCTAGGGCAGGCACAAGATCCTTCACACAGATCCTGGTGAGTCCCCTGAGGGAGGGGGGCAGGGCAGAGTGACCCAGTCTGAGGCTCAGGTCTGCCCCTGTGGGCTGACTGGGGCCCTTCCATGCTGGGGGTGGGGATTTTGACACTACAAGGAGATGGAACCAGGGTGACTTCCCCCTCCCACCCTACTCCAGGTATTTGCATTGAATGGTTTCCATGAAAACCAAGGTTCTTCTGGTCACAGACTGAGGGAATTCAGGCCTGCCCAGGCAGGGTAGGGGTGTGGCAAGGCTGCAGGTGGGCTGGGAGAGCTGGAGGGCCATGAGAGGTGGGGGGCAGAGGGGGGGGGAGGGGAGAGGCCTGGGCAGGAGGTGGGGTGGCACCCACTGGAGAGCCCCAGGTTGTTCTGACCTCCATTGAACTACTGGGGTGACCTCAGTGTGACCTCTAAGCTGGCTTCGGAGCAGGAAAATTAGGGTCTACAATATTTTGGGGGATCCCAAAACACCTGGGATGAAGGATGAGCACTGGAGGCAACAATAATGTCCATCCTACAGATGGAAAACCAAGGGTCAGAGAGGAGAAACAGGCTGCCAGAGACACCCCACCCCAAAGACCATGACACTGCCAGTCCTCCTGGAGTGACAGGGGTAAAGCTGGCAATGCCTGGGAGCAACCCCAAACATGCCCACCCTAAATCTGTAACAGGGGTTCCCTTGATGCTTTGACTATGTCCCTTGTGGCTTTGACACTAATGTTTTTTTTTCTTTTTCCCAACCTTCTTTTCCCTAAACTTCTCCTCCCTGATCTTCTATCTCTCCTCCCTAATCTCATTTTCTCTGAATCACCTCTATAAAAACCCCTCTGTTCCTGCTGATGGGCAGAATCACAGCCTTTGGGACAGGAGTCCCCTGTGTTTCTCCTTTGTTGGCAAAGCAATAACCCTTTTTCCTTCTTCTCAAAACTGTGTCCTCATTAATGGATTGGCATCGGGGATTCCAACACCCCTCAGAAGGGATCTATCACCTCCAATTCCCATTTTTTTTTTCTTTTTGTCAGTGCTAGGGTTAGAACCCAGGATTTCTTTTATAAATACTATACAAGTGCTCTAGCAATGAGCTACATCCCCAATCTTTTTTTTTTTTTTTTTAACTTTGTTTATGTGGTGCTGAGGATGAAACCCAGTGCCTCACATGTGCCAGGCAAGTGCTCAACCACTGAGCCACAACCCCAGCCCCACCCCCAGTCTTTTATAAATTTGGAGACATGGTCTAAGTAGTCCAGGTTGGCATCAAATCTGTGATCTTCCAGCCCTGGCCTCTATAGGTGCTAGGATTATAGGTGTGTACCACCATGCCACTCCTCATTTTAAGAGGATCAAAACTGAAGCTCAGCCAGGTGCAGTGGCACACACCTGAATCTCAGCGACTTGGGAGGCTGAGACAAGAGGATCACAAGTTCAAAGCCAGCCTCAGCAACTTAGTGAGAACCTAAGCAACTTAGCAAGACCCTGTCTCAAAAGGAAAAATAAAAAGGGCTGGGAATGTGGCTCAGTGATAAACTGCCCCTGGGTTCAATCCCCAGTACCCCTCCCCACTAAAAGAAACTCTGAAGCTTAGAGAAGTCATGTCACTTGCTCAAGGCCACAGAGCTGAGTTTAGGGTAGGAAGGCAATCTCTGTAACCCCCCAGAAACAGTACATGCTCATAAAAGTGAACTTGATCAAGGACTCAGGAACCTTCCTGATTCAGGACAACATGTGACAATATATCATATATTCCAAGCTGCTCCCAAAACCTCACGGCCTCTCCAAAGGTCCTTCCCTCTCCAAGTTGTTGAGATCAGTGCTGCAGTCCCCACATTCAGCTGAGTTACAAAAGAAACCCCTCCAATGGTCTTTTATTATCAGGCACCACAGCTGGCCAGATCCTCAAGACAGATGAGCCTTGATCCCCGCCCCTAGCCAGCAGAGGGAGGTGTCCAGGACCCACTTGACAGGTGAGAAGAAAGAGGAAGAGTTCTGAAGGAACTTATCAGAGCAGGTGTGAGAACAGTCCCAGAACTGTCTGAGACCGGTTCACAGCGCTAACTTCAGATAGGACAGTGGGCAGTAGAATGTGCCCTTTGCCCCCAAGAAATGCTGAGAAGGAACTTCTGATAGGCAAGGGCATGGGGGAGGGGCAGGACTGTGGCTGCTAGCTGGCCTGGGGACACAAGATCCCAGGAGCTGCTTTCTGCCTGGTCCATGCTTCCTCAGCCCTGCAGCCTTTACCTGGCACCCGAGAGAGGACAGTGTTTGCTATAGGGGAATAGAATATGGGGGGCAGAGTGGTGGGACACAGATCTCCCCTCATTTCTATGTCATTCGACTCACCCAAGGTCACAGCCTAGACTGAGCCTGGGTTCATGGTGCCAGGTTACCCTTCTGGCCTGTCCACAATTCTTGCAGCTCAACTCGGCAGCCCAGGTCCCGCAGGGCGGCCTTGGCCACATCCTCACAATCTCGGTGGGCCGCTCGGGCCTGTGAAATGAGTGCCTCAGCCCCCAAGTCCAGGATGGGCTTGGAGAAGGCTTGGCTTCGGGATACCAGGTTGCGGATCAGCATGCAGGCCTGTTTCTGGAGGAGAGACACTATGAGTTTCTGGGAAAGATGGATACCTATTATATATGCTGTGTAAAGAGTTATTCTGTTTTTTGAGGGGTACTAGGGATTGAACCCAGGGTGCTTTACCACTGAGCTATACCCAGCACTATCTAGCTCTCTAGCTATTTTGAAAAGGGGTCTCATGAAGTCGCTGAGGCTGGCCTCAAACTTGTGGTCCTCTTGCCTCAGCCTCCACAAGTCACTGAGATTATAGGTATGTACCACTGTACCCAGTCGATGTGATTATTTTAAAAAAATACTTTTTCAATCCCCAGTTAAATCCCTGAATATAAAAACCAGAGAAACAGGGCCAACTGTATATTGTTACTCATTTGGTGGGCATCTGTAGCCTGCATTTTCTGTGCATAGGTGTGAGGGACTGCCCTAAAGCATCCCAGTGTGGTGGGGCTCCTGTCACTAACAGAAGAGCAGATGGGAAGCAGGGAGCAGGAGGGTCTGCCAGTCAGAGTGAGAAGGAGTAGACAAGGTGACGGGCCAACCCAGAGGATGGAGCCCCAGAGTGGGGATCAGTGAGAACAAAGTCCCCGTGGCATCCAGCCTGGTATGGTTTTTATTTTTTATTTTTTGGTATTGGGGATTGAACCCAAGAGCATTTACCACTGAACCACATCCTCAGCCCTTTTTTGAGACAGGGTCTCACTAAGTTGCTTAGGGCCTCTCTAAATTGCCGACTCTGGCCTTGAACTTATAGTCCTCCTGTCGCAGCCTCCCAAGTTGCTGGGGTTACAGGTATGCACCATGGCACCCCACCCAGCCTGGTGTGTTTAAGGCTCCTGTGCTGGGAAGAGGAGAAGTGGGGAGGGGCCCAGGACCACAGGGAGGCGTCTAGTTCAGGAAGGAGTGAAAACGATGATGAGGTATAGACGGTGGGTCCCACAGCCAGCAATAAGATTGGAAGTCCAAGGAGGGGCTGGTAGCCTCCCCAAATCCCAGGCAGAGTCCCCTTTGTGCTACCCCCTTCTCCTCCTCCCCAGGTCCCCCTAAAGAGATTTTCAAGAAAGTAGAAGAGTAAATGTAAAGAGCAAAGGGAAGCTAGACTTGATGGCACATGGCTGTAATCCCAGCTACTCAGGAGGCTGAGGCAGAAGGAACCTAAGTTTGAGGCCAGCCTAGGCAACTTAGCAAGTCTCTGTCTCAAGAAATAAAAAAGGCTGAGGATGTAAATCAGTGGCAGAGCATTTTTGTAGCATGATTAAGGCTCAGGGTTCCACCCACAGTACAAAAAAAAGAACAAATGAACAAACATGGTTAGGAGAGAAGATGCCCCAGAAGAGTTCAGCATTGGTTAGAAGATGGAAAGGAAGGGTTGAGTGCGTGGCACGCACCTGTAATCCCAGTGGCTTAGGAGGCTGAGACAGGAGGATCGTTAGTTCAATGCCAGCCTCAGCAACTTAGTAAGACACATCCAAAAGGGCTGGGGATGTGTCTTAGTGGGTGAGTGCCCCTGAGTTCAATCCTCAGTCAAAAAAAAAAAAAAAAAAAAGATGAAAAGGAAGAGGCCTTGTGGGTTCAGGCTGTGATGGAGACATGGGCAGGGAGGGCCTGCTCTCACCTGTATGTTGGCCTCCTGCCCCACACCACTGCCTGCCCACCAGCTTCCTGTCCCCCCAACACCAGTCCACCTACACACAGATCTCCTGCCTCTGCCCCCATACCACTGCAAGTCAGCCTCCTGCTTGCCCCTCACATGCTCCCACCTTCCTTCCTCAACCCCCCCAGCCCCCCACCCAATCCACCCCTGTCACCTGCACGCCAGCCTCCTGTGGGTGTGCCTTCATGGCCTGCAATGCGGCCAGGGCCCCGCCCGCCTCCATGATGACCTGGCTGTTCTCTGGCTTTCGCAGGGCCAGGACACACAGGGCAGCACAGCTCTGCTCACATACCTGTGGGGATCAGTCATGGGTGAGAGGCGGCGGAGACAAGGCAGATGGACGCCCTCCTTCCCACCAGCCCTCATGGTCACCACCACCACTGAGGGCACTGGCCTGGCTGGATCTCAGGTAGCCCGGGTGCTCACCCCAGGACACTCAGGCCAGTATCTGAGACAGAGTCCTGGCCCCTTGCTCACCTCCCCTGGCCATGGCCCTGCTGAGAAGTGAGGAAGAGCAGAGCTCCAGGTGGACATGGAAACAGCGGGCCTCCAGCCGCCAGCCCCACCCCACGTGCCCCTGAGGTGGATACCTGGGGGTTGGCCAGGTGCTGGGTCATGGCGGCCACGATGGACTCTGTCCCACCGGCGCGGACAATGGCATCCTTCACATCATCGTTGCCCGCGATGGCCCGCAGGGCGCTCAGCACTTGCTTGACAAGGTCCTGCACAGAAGGCAAGGCCTGGATGCACCCAGCCAGGTCCTCCTCCTGAGCCTCTGGGTTGCTAGATTGTGGGAGGGGTCTTGAGGAAGGGCCTGGGGCTGTTGGTCTGTTTCAATGACGGGTGTAGCTGTCCTGGGGAATGTGGGTAGCCTTAATGGCACAGAGAAGGGAAGGGAGGCTTCTAGAGGCAGATACCTGGGCTTAGGCTACTTGTGTCCAGGTAGGACATCTGGCTTACTTGATCACCCCTCCCTTCTAGGGATAGTGAACATGTGACTTGGGCCCTGGGTTCCATCCTCAGCACTATTTTAAAAAAATAAATAAATAACTGGGACTGCCAACTTCTGGGACAGAGTTGAGAGGAAAAGAAAACCGAGGCTCCATCCTGGGACTGTCAAGTAAAATGCCTTCCCTCCTTTGCTGGGGCCAATTCTAACTGAGCTCTTTGCTACTACACAGAACAAGTCTGGCTGTCACAGCCAGGTGCCCCCGGGGCTTTTCTGTCAGCCTGCCTTGGACAGATGCATGCTGGCTGCAACCTGGGCCAAGCACAGGGAGAGAGGCTGATAAGCAGCTGCTAAATGATGGAGCGATGGTAGAGGACTCCCTTCCTGTCCCACAGTAGGTAACAGAGGCAAGCACCACATGCTATGACCCGGCCCTGCCCTGGTGAGCAGATTCCCCCATCCTCTTCCTCCCATTCCTTCCAGAACATAAAATGGTGCAAAAGGACAGCGAGGTAATCTCAGTAACTTGGGAGGCTAAGGCAGGAGGATCACAAGCCCGATGCCAGCCTGGGCAACTTAGTGAGACCCTGTCTTAAAATAAAAAATAAACACAGGCTGGGGTTGTGGCTCAGTGGTAGAGCGTTTGCCTAGTATGTGAGAGGCCCTGGGTTCCATTCCCAGTACCGCCAATAAAAAAAGGCAGGGGCGCAGGTTTGTTTTGCTCTGCAACTTTAGTTCCTGTACTTGGGTCAGTAAAAAGAAAACTGTACCATAGTTCCCGGGTTGGCAGATAGTACCAACTTATTCTGACGGTGGCCTATCCTGCTGGCTGGGACCCAGAGGGGCAGGAGCCTTCGTTGCAGGAAACAATAAATCAAACCCAAGCCAGGGGCCATACATCCTCAAGGTTCTAGGTCCCTACCTGGTGGTTATTACAGTTGGCTAGAAGGGTCACCAGGATGCCAAGGCCCCCAAGGTCAACTATTTCCTGACAGAACTCATTGCGGACAGCCAGGCGAGACAGGGTGCTGCAGAACTCACTCAGGACACTGGGGTTGTCGGAAAAGCCTGGAGGGAGACAAAAAATGCACTGTTGGCGTTGGGAGAGACCCTAGGAAGAGGGAAAGGGACCTCGGCTAGGTGAGGCCCTTGATCCACTAGTGGAACCCAGTCCCTCTGCCTCAGAGGATAGCTGCCTGCACCAGAAAGGCCCCAGGAGTAGACAGAAGGGGCATCTCAGGCTGGCGCTGCCCCCTGCTGGTCGCTGATGGAGAAGAGGGGAGAGCGTCCCTCCTCCACCCTTCCACCCCTGCGCTCTAAATAAATTCCAGACCAACTGATGGTCTCAACTAAAAAAAGAAAACCATAATAGCACCAAAATAAAACATCCGAGACTATTTTTATGATCCTGGGGTGGGAATGACAGAATAAGTGCAACAGAAAACCACAGAGGGACACACAGACTGAGTTGACGGGCAAAACACCAGTGTCCCAGACGAAGTTTGAGGTTCAACGTGGGGAGCAGATGCCTGCCCTGGCGCCCACAGTGCAAATGTTTCTCATTTTTCTTTCTGCAGCACTGGGGACTAAACCAGGGCACTCTATCACCGAGCTACATTCCCTAGCCCTTCTTTTTTATTTGAGAGAGGGTTTCCCAAAGTTGCTTAACTGGCCTCAAACTAGCAATCCTGCTAGGATAACAGGCAGGTGCCAGCAAGCTCAGCAAATATTTATTTATTTTCTTATTTTAAAAAAATTCATTCTACTTAGTGACACATGACAGTAGAATGTATTTTGACATATCATGCATAGATGGAGTGTAACTTCCCATTCTTGTGGTTGTACATGATGTGGAGTTACACTGGTCGTGTATTCATATGTGAACATAGAACAGTTATGTCCAATTCATTCTACTGTCTTTCCCGTCTGGCAAATATTTATAACTGATACAGAGGAGCTGGGCGTGGTAGTATACACCTGTCACTCCAGTGACTCGGGAGGTTGAGGCAAGAGGATCTTATGTTCAAAGCCAGCCTTAGCAACTTAGCAAGGCTCTAAGCAACTTAGCAAGACCCTGTCTTAAAATAAAAATAAAAAACAGGTTGGGGATGTGGCTCGGTGGTTACGCACCCCTGGGTTCAATTCCCAGTACCACACACAAAAGAATAATAATAATTGATACAGAGCTCTGGGATGGCCAGTGCATGTGTCTACTGGGTCTGGGTCCCAGAGATCCCTCCAAGGCTGATGTGCAGGTATTCTGTGGATGTGGTCACCAGCCACAACCAATTGCTGTTAAGGAAGGAACTGAGATGACTCTAGACCATGTGGATGGGCCTCATCCAATCAGGAGAAGGCTTTAAGAGGGAAACCAGATTATCTGAGGAGAAAAACATGGCCCTGGGGCTGCCTGGAAGTCTCTACCCTGTCCTAAGAATTGCAGCTCACAATACATGAGCCCATTTTTTACACAAAGTAACTTCAGAGATTGGGGGTGCAGCTCAGTGGCAGAGCATGTGCTCAGCATGTGTGAGGCCCTGGTTCCATCCCCAGCACCAAAAATAGAAAGGCTTCATATACACATATGCTACATGTCCTCCTCTCCGGTGCCAGCCTAATTCAAGCTCCCATAGACAGACAGGAAAGATGAAACCTACCCAGAAAAGCAGCTCAACTTGTAGTCAGGACCCATTCTCAGCTTCTCTGGAGGTGTGCAGGGGCCTGAGGCAGGCCTGGCTCCCTGGCAGACAGGCCTGGCTGCAGAGCCAGAGCCACAGGGCAGGCAGGAGAGGAGAACTCATTCTTCCAGCACCTCCTGTGTGCTGGACCTCTGTCAGGCCTTTGCTGGTAGGTGTGGTGGACATGGTGAAGGACAGAGGCTTTAGGGTCCAAAAGTCAGGGTATGGCTTCCTATGGCCAGCTCCCTGGTCACCCTGCACAATAATCTACAGCCAAATATGAACAAGAAAATGTCAACTTTCATCTTGGACTGACTCGGGAAGGCCGGCAAGACTCCCCGACTCCTGCTCTTTAGGGAATTCCTCTTCCTCATCTTCTTCCATGTGGCTGGGCACAGTGGGCCACCTCCCTAAACATTTCCAGGGATGGGCAACGGACCCACTCCTGGCCAATGAATACTTGCCTGGAACTCTCCAGGAGCCACCAGGAAGCATAGATCCACTTCTATTACTAGAGTAGCCATGTGAGTGGGACTAGGCCAATAGAGAAGCCTGGACCTAGCCATGCCTGAAGCAGTCTGAAACCCTGATTCTTTCTCTTTCTTTCTTTGTTTCTTTTTGTTAGTTTGGTGTAGGGACTGAATCCAGGCTCTTGCTCATGCTGAGCACAACTCACCCTGGCCACAGCCTGCCTGCTGCTGTACTGTCACTGATCACATCAGCTGGGGCTCCTACCTTTGGCAGCCTCAATGAGCACCTTCAAGCCTCTGTTTTCCTGCACGATCATCTTGGCATGGTTGTGGGCGTTGCTGTAGGGCACACGAATGTCATCATCAAAGGTCATGATGCGGAGGGCCCAGCATGCCTCCCTCACCACATCAGCATGCTGGCCATGCTGGGCAATGGCACTGGTCAGCAGGGGTAGCACACCAGCCTTCACCAGGCCCTGCCGATTCTGCTCATGCTTTAGAGAGGCATGTCGCACGCAGCGGATCCCAGAGCAGGTCAGGTTGGCTTCATTAGCACTCTGGGCCAGTGTGTCCACCAGCAGCTGTAGGCCTTGGGCATCTAGAAGGTCAGGCTGACCATCAGTCAGCATTGACAGGGCGTTGAGGGCCTGGAGCAGAAGGTTCTGGTCTCCTGCAGCAGCCAGCTTCCAGGCAGCCAGGATAATGGGGTAGGCTCCTTTCTGGGCCGCCAGGAAGCGGCAGGCTTTGTGCTGTTTGCACTGGTCACAGAATCGGGTAAGGTGGGTCGACACCTCTTCGGGGCTAGAGGAGGCCACAGATTTCTGCAGGTCACCCAGGGCCTGGGAGATAAAGAAGAAACTAGTGTCAGCTCAGCCCAGAGATGGGAACCCAGGGCCATGGTGACAGTGTCTGCATCCCTGCAGGGTCCCCTCCTCCAGGATCTGGGTGGAAGATGGAAATAATGTAGGGTCAAAATTTGCAATCTTCCCTCCTCATTCTTCTGCATGGGGGATTACAAGCACGGGGCCACCACTCCTGGCCATACTTATACTTTTTAGTGAGAAGGAAGGCCTCAGCTGTCTCAGGGTCCCTGCTAAGGAACTGCACACCTGTGTGTGGACATATTAAACATCCCACCCCTGGTTGACTTGGAGAAGCTGTAAGTGAACCCAGAAGTGAGGCCAGCCAAACAAAACTGACACAACTGCCATCGGTCCACCCTTAGAGGGAAAAAGAAGAAAGTCACCTTCATCAGATCTGCCCATCAAGATGTCTCTTTGCTGTACCTCTCATTCACTCCCCAAATATTTACAGAGTACTTGCCAAATATACACGGTTGATTTACCCAAATATAGCTCTAAGTCATGTGGGAAACATGATGAAAGAAAACAATTTGAACAGGGCAGACCAGTCTCGCTGCCATTCAGCAATACAATCTCAGGACATGCCTCAGCATGAGCTCAAGAGGAATCTGTGTGCTTAGAGCTGATGAGATCATTGGCACCAGCTCAGGCAAGGGCAACTGGACAGAAACCATCAGCTCAAAGGGCTTTGATTTCATCTTAACACTCATAAAGGTCAAAGATACCTATGAGCCAGCCCTCCCTAACTGTGAACCTAAATTGAGGATATGTTATCACACAAGAGAATACTTAAAAAAATGAGTCTGGGGGCTGGGGTTGTGGTTCAGTGGTAGAGTGCTCGCCTAGAACGTGCAAGGCCCTGGGTTCAATCCTCAGCATCACATTAATGTAAAAAAAAGATATTGTGCCCACCTAAAACCGAAAATAAATATTAAAAAAAAAAAAACGAGTCTGGGAACCTGGGTGTGGTGGTACGTGCCTGTAATCACAGCAACTGGGAGGCAGAGGCAGGAGGATCTCAAGTTTGAGGCTAGCCTCAGCAACTCAATGAGACCCTCAGTGACTTAGTGAGATCTTATCTCAGAACAAAAAAATTAAAAAGGGCTGGGGATGTAGCTTGGTGGTAAGGCACCAGAGTTCAACCCCCAGTACAAAAAAAAAAAGTTGGGAGCTGATGGTGTAGCTCAGTGGTAGAGCTTTTGCCTACTGTAAGGTTTTGGGTGCCATTCCCAGCATTGCAAAAAAATAAAAATAAGGGGCAGTGGATATACCTCAGTTGGTAGACTGCTAGCCTCGCATGCACAAGGCCCTGGGTTGAATCCCCAGCACCACAAAAATAAAATAAAAAACAAATAAAATTCAACCTTACTAGCAAAGGGGGATGGTGGTGGGGACAACAAGGAGGCCATTTTCACAAGACCTCTGCAAGGTTGGAGCCAGAAGGATCCTTATGTAAGGACATATTGCCCTTATGCAGAGTTGGGTTTGCACCCAAGGTGTCTCCTCCAACTTGCTCTTTTTTTTTTTTGGATACTTGGTCTCACCATGTTGCCTAGACTAGCCTTGAATTTGCAATCCTCCTGCCTCAGCCTCCTGAGTCACTGGGTTTACAGGCCTATGCCACCATGCCCAGCTTCAACAAGTGAGTTTAAATGTTTAATAGACTGGCTGTAAAGTGCTAATAAATGGTTGGTGTTCAATAAAGACTGCCTTACATCCTCCTCTTGCAATTTTCTCTCTCTCTGGGAGGCCAGAAATGCTGTCCTATGCCACCCTCAACCCCAGGCTCCTTGAACCAGGGACAACCAAGAGCATGCTGTGGATTCTGACCTCAGATCATGGGCTCCATGTGGAGCTCAGCAGCCCCCCAAAAGCTGTGCTGCACTCAGACTGGGACTCAGGGAGAGATGTGGCTGCAAACTCAACCTGGCCAATGCACACCAGGCAGGTCACTGACCTTCAGAGCCTGCCTTCTGCCATGTGGAAAGGGAAGAGCTATCCACCAAGATTATTCCAAAGTGAAAAGGGACCTCTCACATGGGCTCCATGCTCCTACCTGTAAGATATCATGTGTGGGCTCCTGGGGTCCATCTGCAGAGACTTTAGGCACACTCTTTACAATGTTGCTCAGATCAACCCCTGTAAAGAGGAAGATAGGAACATTGAAAAAAAGAAGTGACAACTGTCATCCTCTGGCCTACCAGTGGAAGTCACACCCCATGTCCCTTCTGCTGAGATACACCTTCAGGAGGTCTTTCAGAGGTCTTCCCAGTGCTCCTTTCTGCTTGACTCCTCCCCAGGTCAGCCAAAGGGAGCAGAGTGGTAGCCAGGCCATGGCCAAGTGGGGCCATATCACCACTGCCATCTCTTTGCAGTGAGATGGCACTTCCTGCCTGGGAGAGGACAGGGGATCCCTCAGCCATTTCTCTCAGAGATCCCATTCTCCCTGGCCTTGTGCTGCCCCTACAGGAAGCATTCACTGGGTCAGACACTTCCAGTCACCCTGCCAGCCCCTGTCCATTGTCTATACTTTACTCTGTGCCCAAGAGGCTGACCTTTGAGACTGGAGCCTAGATCCCTTGCCCACTGGCTTTTGGCTGGGGATAGTGGGGATTGAGCCCAGAGCCATGCTCAGTGCCATCTGGCTCTTCAATGAGCCTGTCCAGTGGGAGCTAGAGTCAAGACTGGGGGCAGGAGGAAGGGAATGGTCAGTGGTGTTCATTTCTAGCAATCTGCCCTGCCTCTACCCAAAGACCTGGTGCTTATCAGAAGACTCCTGCCCAGAGCCCCTACTCCCTGCTGTGACCATCAAGGGTCCTGCCCTGGCTGTCATGGGCTCTAAACCCTGCCTACACCATTACAAATGGTCCCTTAATAACTACTCTCCTCTAAGGCTTGGTTTGGGCACACTATTTCCACAGCTGATGACTGCCATCACCTTCTTCCACTCTGAGCCCAAGTGGGGGTGCAGTGGGGCAGGTAGCCCTGCTTACCAGGGCAGGTTAGGGAAAGCCATTTCAGGGAAGTGACAGTGAAAATGAGATCCACAAAGAGGATCCAGCCTCATAAATGACTCAGTGAGATGGAAGAAAAGAGAGGGTAGACATGATCAAGGCAGGACCAGAGGGCCTGGCCTAACTGGGGCACCAGTTTCTCTGCCAGGCATGATGGGGTTATGGCAGTCCAGGCGGGATCCCAACACTCTTGTGTCTAAGAGCCGTGGACCAAGCCATAATGCCCTAACCTTGTGATTCAAACTGCTCCATGGCCTCCTTCACTGCTTCCTCTGGCCCCATCTCAAACTCCTCGATGTTCTCCTGCACAGCTGCATCAAAGGTCTCCTGGGTGATGCGCTTGGAGGTCATCTCTGTCTGCTGAGCAAAGTCAAGAGGAAAGCTTGTCAAGAGAGAGCAGGCAAAACACCACTTTGGGGGAGCACCTAGCCTTGGGATCAACCCTGGAAAAATTCTTATCACTAGATCATGGGTAAAGGGAACATCGCAATTTCCAAAGAGCTTTGAAAAACGCAAAAGAGAGCAGGGCACAGTGGCCCACATATGTCATCCTAGCTACTAAGGAGGCTGAGGCAGGAGGATTGCAACTTCAAGGCCAGCCTCAGAAACTAGTGAAGCCCTATCTTATAATAAAATTTTTAAAAAGGCTGTGGATATAGCTCAGAAGTAGAGAGCCCCTGAGTTAAAGCCTTAATGCCATTCAAAAAATAAATATATATATGAACATACACACACACACAGACACAGATACACATATATGTATAAAATGTCATTCTAATACTAAATACGTAATAATCATACTTTATTATATTTACACACATAATCTTATATATAATTATACAATAAGATACCATTATATTACAGGTTGACTATCCCTTATCTGAAATTCTTGGGACCTAAGTAGTACATACTTTGGGGGATTTTAGAATATTTGCATATAAATTATGAGATATCTTGGGGATGAGACCCAAATCCAAACAGAAAATTCTTTATACATCATATATACCTTACACACATAGTCACAGCCTGCAGGTAATTTTATACAATATTTTTAGTGTGTCCGTTTTGACTGCAACCCATTATATGAGATGAGGTGTGGAATTTTCCAATGTGGCCATGACAGAGCTGAAAGTTTAAAAATTTGGAGAATTTCAGAATGCAGATTAGGGATGCTCAACCTGTTATATAAAATTTAAAAATAACAATGAATAATAATATCTAATAAAAAGGAGGGCTAAAGAAGAAACTAATAAAAATAGTTACCTGGTAGGGAAGGGAAAGGAACAGAAGCTGGATTATTCACTCTGAGTGTATCTTCTGGAATGGGATGAATTTGGAAGCCATATAAATCCTTTATATGACTAGAAAGTGAAATAAACCAAAATAAAAATAAAAGCAATCCCTAAAAACCAAGAATGAAATTATGCCAACTAATCTGGGCTGGGGATGAGGCTTAGTGGTAGACTTCTTGCCAAGAATATGCAAGGACTGGGTTCTAGGCCCAGCACTGCAAAAAAACAAAAAATCTCAATGAGCCAGATATGGTAGCAGGTATACCTGGCACCCCAACTCTCAGGATCCTGCTAAAGCAGAGGATCTAGCCAGCCTGGGCAACTTAGTGAGATCCTGTTTCAAAATAAAATAAAAAGAACTGTAGTTGAAGCTTGGTGGTAGAGTTCTTGCCTAGCATACTAGACTCTGGGTTCCATTCCCAGTACTGCAAACAAAGGAAAAAAGATTGTAAGATCATAGGCTGAAATAAGTAAAACCTCATAACTCCATCTAATTAACAATACTGTATATTGCATACTTGAAATTTGCTAGGAGTCGAGGGTTTTATGTTGTTTTTTGCTTTTGTTTTTCCTCTGGCAGTACTACAGATGGAACCCAGTGCTTCACACAGGGCAGATCTTAAGAGTTCTGACCCCATCATACACAAAAGATCTTTTTTTAAAACTTCTTTTTATTTAAATTTTTTTTTCTATTGTAGATGGACACAATACCTTTATTTTTTATTTATTTTGTATGTGGTGCTGAGGCTCGAACCCAATGCCTCACATATGCTAGGCAAGCACTCTACCACTGAGCCACAACCCCAGCCCCCACAAAAGATCTTTATGTTAATTAGCATGACTGTGATGAATATTTCACAATGTATACATATGTAATTATGACGATGTACAACAAATATACACAATATACTTATATATAACACAATGTATATCTCTATACTGAACCTCTATAAAGTTGGGGGAGGATCTCAGATCTCTTCCCCTTGTTTTGTATGTGGTACTGGATATTAAACCCAGGAATGGCACATGTGAGGCAAGCCCTCTACCACTGAGCTATATATCCAGCACTCTTCTAAATTTTAGTTTGAAATAGAGTTTGGTTCTGTTGCTCAGGTGGGCCTGGAACTTGCAATACTCCTGCCTTTAGCTTCTTGAGTACCTGGGATGACAGGTGTGCACTACTGTGCTTGAACTGAAATTTTCTTTTTTTTTTTTTTAATACTTATTTATTAGTTTTCAGCGGACACAACATCTTTGTTTGTATGTGGTGCTGAGGATCGAACCCGGGCCCCACGCATGCCAGGCGAGCGCGATACGGCTTGAGCCACATCCCAGCCCCTGAACTGAAATTTTCAATATGAACTCTTGATATATTTTCTTTTAAGCAAACAAACCTCTAATGTTCTAATGATAAGAACAGAAAATGCCTAAAGGAAATGATATCATAGTAGCATTGAGCATCCTTAACACCAACTATGGTCTCTAAATACCATTTCCCATAGAATAGAATCCAAGGCCCCTGGAAGAATGGCTAATTCCATGTTTTGGCAGGACATAGATCTTAGGAGCTAGGGCATCTGGTAAGATCAGAAAGCAAGGAAGGAAGCAAATCCTAAGAGGCACCTATTAGCTAAAGATGAGACAAGCAAACTCTTAAAAAAAAAAAAAAAATCCAGGGTTGGTAGTGTTGCTCAATGGTACAGTACAGGCATGCACAAGGCCCCGGGTCAGATCCCCACAAAAATACACAAATAAAAGGATCTAGTGTTTATTCTGCCTGTCTTATACAAGGGGGTCCCAGGTTAAAAAGGAAGGATGAGGAAAAGTTCTGCTTCCGATCCCAGCTGATCAGCCAAGCCAGGACAAATCTAGAGAATGCTCCCTACAGGCTGGCAAAACCATCAGGTACAAAACCAGTGAGGATGGACCCTGACAAGGGCTGGACAGGAAGTGAGTCTATGGCTTGATCTCACTTCCTCAAAAGAAAAAACAATATCTGTTTCCTGGCAAAGAGCAAAATTCACCTGTGAAATCATTGGTCCCAAACTTCAATGTAACTATCTGTCCAATGGAACTTTGTGTAATGATGGAATATTCTATATTTGTGTGGTCCAGTAAGGTAGCCACCAACCACAGGTTTGGGAGTGGGTGGTGCTATGGAGCAGTTAGTAGTGTGGCTGAGGAACTGTATGTGTAATTCTATTCAGTGTCAATTCATTTTAATAAAAATAGGGAGGAGCAGAGAGATAGCTCAGTAGTAGAGAATTTTCCTAGAGTGCCTGAGGCCCACACTAGCAATTCCCTTTGCAATGCTTGGTAGCAGGCACACCTGGCTTCCACAAAGACAATGATGTCTTCACAGGCACAACTGGGTCATTAACTCCTGCCATACCCTTTGTAATTAAGTAATTAAGGGAGGACAGGTCTCAGTTCCAGAATCTTAACAGAGTTTAATAACTTTCTTCATTTTAATTGTTTTAATTTATCTGCCTTGTTTATTATAATAATACTGTTTCCATTCTCAAACTGGTATCAAGTTTCCATTTAAAATAGATCTCTTTTTAAACCTACAGTAAAGTTGCAAGGAACACCTTATATCCTTCACCTAGCTTCATCAATCGTTAACCTGTGAGTGTGTGTGTGCATGTGCACACAGCTACTATCTGAATATGTTCCAAACATCAGGACCTCTTTCCTTCTAAAGACCAGTATGACCTCCGCAGTAAAGACCTCTTATGCAATTACAGCACATATGAATTTAACATGAGAAATCTAACATTGATAAAATACATGTGCACGCAAGCGATGGGGATGGAACCCTCATGAGTGGTCTATCTCCTTCCTGCCACACCCTCCCCCTCTACTCTCCACACAGAATCCAGAGAGGACCTTCAAAGCACACAAATATTACCTCATTCATTTGCTCAAAACCCTGCAATGGCTTCCCATGCCACTTAGAAACAACAACAACAACAACAAAAACCCCAGTCTCCTTACGAGAAGTTTCTCTATGTATACTTTTCCAAACTGCATTTCCCTGCCTGATTTTCATCCTTCCAGCTACCCTAGGGACACACTTCAAAACCACTCCGGTTAAAACAGCCCCCCTCTCCTATCCCATTATTCTCTTTTATTATTTGCATAGCATTACCTACTCTAGAGCGACAAAATTCATTTATTTATTTGTTTATACCTTCTAGTCTCCTTGCCCTATTGCCTAAGACGGAGCCAGACACGTTGCTGGCACTCAGTACGTAGGTGTTGAAAGAATTAAAAAAAAAAAAAATGCAAAGAAAGGAAGGCAGATTCGGTCCCCTAGCGGCTTCAGTAAGATTCCTTCCTTCCCCAAAATCAAGTTCTGAGGGCTTTGCCGCAGTCACCAGCCCGACCCCACAGCATCCACTCCCTAGTCCGCGCGCAACAGGGTTCTTGGCCGCTGCTCACCCGGTCTTCGAAGCCACGTGGGGCAAGGGTGGGGCTCGCAGCTGTCACTGAAGGAACCAACTCTGGCCCGTTCCGGCCGCCGTACGAGCGCAGGCGCAGTGGCGCCGCCTCACCTAGGCCGTCTTTAGCTTGGCAGATAGCTCCCGGAGTAACTAAGGATGGCCATGATTGCAGGTAAAGTAAAAAGGACCACCTGGTGCGTGACGGCACAGCGTCTGTCGACTTGTCCGGAACGCTCAACGTAGTCGCCACCCCCACCAGGCTCTAAAAAAAGCGAGCAGCGCGCCTGCGCAGAAAGGCTTGCCAGCGGCGGCCTGCGCCTGCGCTCAAGGACTCGACAGCACCCTGCGCCTGCGCGGCGCGGCGCTGCGGAGACCGTTGGCTCATTTGCATGTCCCCGCCTCGCGCGGCGGCGGGTGAGGAGCCTGAGGCGGCGGCGGGGGCGGCTCCGCGCGCAGTGGGCTCGGGGTGAGGCCCGGGCCCCGGCGTTGTCGGTGGGTGGGCCCCGGGGTGGGGGGCCTCGGACTTGGTCCGGGTGGCCCCGGACTACATGATGGCGCCGAGGGCTTGGCCCTCGGGCTTCGTCCGCGGCCGGGTCCTTAGGGGCGGTCGGTGGCCTCCGGGAACCGACTCCCCCTTTTCGTCGTCCTCGGAGGCTGGGCGGAGGCGGGCCGTGCTGGAAGGGGTTCACTGGGTCACTTGTTCATTCATTCCACCCGAGCCCGGAACAGCACCGGCTCGCGGGCCATAAGGGCCACCGGTGCTGCGTTCGGCCCTTTACCTCTTTTAAACTGGTTCAGTCCCCATAGCAACCCCAATATTAGCTGCTCATTCCATAGATGGGAAACCAAGGCGTAGAAAGGTTAGGACACTTGTTTTAAACCCAGGCCACCTGACCCGGAGACCTGGCCATTCGCTATTCAGAGAACAAGGGACACCGGGAAGGGAGTCAAAGGATGGGAAAATGGGGTGATGGTTGTGAAAAAACGACTGTAAGGCAGGTGTGCGTCTTGAAGTTGGAGGTGTCTCTAGGCCAGGACATCTTGATGATTAAGGACGTTGAACTCCTAAATGTTGCTTAATTTTTTTCCTGCTCCTTCTAAAGGGCTTTGTTTCCACTAATGCTCTAAACAGCAGGTTCAAGTCTGGGCTGTCTGACCTTGGGTGGGTCACTTAGCCTAGGTCTGCCTTTTCCTCTTCTATGTAATGTCATTCATAAAAGGACCCACCTCGTCGGTAGGCTATTGCAAGAAGCAAAAGAGATCGTGCTGGTACCTAGTACACAGCAACCTCTGTCACTAGCTCATTGTCATTTGGTAGAGATTCTTCCACGCACTTCTCCAGAGGCTCTTCTCTCAGGTAGAGTAAGCTCTGGATGCCTCTTGGTGAAATGGGAAAATAGTGGTCACATCTTTCCTATATTTGTGAGGATTGTGTTCCTGTTCTTCTGACCACGTTATACTCTTTTGTGTGTTGAGTTGTGCTATCCTCTAGCAACCCCAAGAAATAGGATTGCTCTGTGTGCCTCTTGTAACCCATTCCAAGGAAATGGGCTCAGACAAGGCTCTTCTTGCTCCTTTTCCTGACACACATGTGAGCCTCACCTGGAGAGAGATCCCCTTAAAAGACTCCAACCTGCCTTTTGAAGTACCATGGCAGGATTATGGATTACTATGTGATTCTTTTTTTCCTTTTGATTTTTTTGTTTTGAAACTGAGTATCCCTTAAGTTGCTGAGTTTGGCCTTGAACTTGTGATCCTCCTATCTCAACCTCTCAAATCACTGGGATTACAGGCATGGACCACTGTGCCCAGCACTGCCTGGTGACTAAGGATTGGGTAAAATAGAGCAGGCTCTGTGAGAGAGTTGTTATTCTTAATATGTCTTTTTCTTTCACTATAGGGCAAGGAAATATGGCAGCAAGGCGAATTGCACAAGAGACTTTTGATGCTGTATTACAAGAAAAAGCTAAACGATATCATGTGGACCCCACTGCTGAGACTATAGGAGAAACTCTTCAGTTTAAAGCTCAAGGTAAATTTTTTTTTTTTTTTTTTTTTTTTTGAGAGGGAGTGTAGTATCTAGAGTCTGGGGCAGGATTTCAGTGTCTTAGACAAGTACAGAATTGCTCTGGTCCTTGCTCTCCTTATTTAAGAGAAAATAATATTTTCACATTGCCCACTGGGCAGCCAAATCATTATGCAGAAGGTGGTGTTGGCATTAACTGGAGCTTCTTTTTAGATACTGTGTTTTGAAGAACATAATTTTGGTGCTGTGAATGGTATCCAGGGCCTTACTCATGTTAAGCAAATGCTTTCATTGATCTATGTCTCCAACTCCTAAAGAAGGATTTGGGGGAGGTGGGTACTGGGGTGCATAACCACTGAGCCACATTCTTAGCCCTTTTTATTTTTCATTTTGAGGCTGGGCCTTACTAAGTTGCTTAGGGCCTCATCCTCTGGAGCTGCTGATATTACAGGCTTGTATTGCCACGCCCAGCAAGGATTCTTGAATCAATCTAGTAGCATCCCCTGCCATTCCTGCTCAGGTTTAAGCTCTTACCAGTTCTTGCTTACATTATTGCAATGTCCTGCAGGGTCTGTCTGCTTCTCACTTCATTTCCTTCATATCAGCCCTTAAAATAGTTGCCCCTCAGATCTATTAGTGCCAACCTCCTTAGGCCACTGTCCTGCTTAGGCTCTTGGGGCTCCCCAATTGCAGTATTATATCTTCTTCAAGTGCAGGAATAGCCACTTATCATCTGCAGAGGGGGTCTCTAGCTGCTAGGTGTTGGTTCTGCTTGAAAACATTTCCTTTGAATTCCTTTATCTCAGGTCTGCCTGGTTGATTCTCTCAAGACTCGGCTCACAGGTGCCTTCCCCTAGGAAGCCTAAGCAGGCCTTGAGGTTGATTTTGTTACCATCCCTACTCCAAGAAGTACATGCCCTGGGCCTGTTTCCCCTGGGCTGCTCACAGTTATATCCTTAGGGTGAAGAAAAGGCCGCTCCTATTGTTTAAGTCTAAGCCTTTGGGATAGGAATAACAAATGTGCTTTGGACTTGGAGAATTGAAGCTCAGAGGTTATCTCTAGGTTCTGAGATTTCAGAATTTACAGGGATGTTTGCTGGAGTACCAGCTCAGTGGTAGAGCACTTGCTTAGCACATGTGAGGCATTGGCTTTAATCTTCAGCACCATGTAAAAACAAATAAATAAAGGCACTGTGTCCGTCTACAACTAAAAAAATATTTTAAATAAAAATTTGCAGGGACACGGTTGAGGATGTGGCTCAATGGTAGAGTGTGTTCTTTTTTTTTTTATTATTTAAAGATGGACACAATATCTTTATTTGTGTTATTTATTTTTTATGTGGTGCTGAGGATCAAACCCAGTACCTCACAAGTATGAGGCAAGCTCTCTACCTCTGAGCTATAACCGCAGCCCCTAGAGTGTGTTCTTAATATGTGTATGATCTTGGTTTCATCCCAGTACTGCCAAAACACAAAGTTATGTGAGATGTACACAAAACCTTTGCAGTTATAAAAGATTGGAACAGTTTAATAAAAAGAGGGATGAAAATCCTCCTAGCTACTTCCTTATCCCTCAGAAGTAACTATTTATGGTGTTTTATACATCCTTCAGTTATTTTAGTGAGATATTATAGTACTCAATACTTTATGTGTTTATATCTGGAGAATTAAATCTTGGTTCTTTATCTATAGACTCAAGCACCAGTACATCTTAGTTACCACAAGAAAGATTGGAGAAGGCTGGTTTTAGCTGAGTGACAGAATACTTGCCTAGCATGTGCAGGGAACTAAGTTCCATCTCCAGTATTTCACCACCCCCTCAAAAAAAAAAAAAAAAAAACTATGGAGGATGGGGACTAGAAACACAGCAAGATGATGGTTTTAGAACAAAGTTCATAATTCATTGGTCAGCCTTTCTCTCTCTCTCTCTCTTTTTTTTTTTTTTTTTTTTTTGACAGTACTGGGGATTGAGCCCAGAGGCACTCTACCACTGAGCTATGTCCCAGCCCTTTTCCAGGGTCTCACTAAGTTGCTAGTGCTGGTCTCAAACTTTGGATCCTCCTGCCTCAGCCTCTTGGGTTGCTGGGATTATAGGCATACACCACGCATAGCTGGTCAGTCTTAGTTCTATGTCTCTGCTTTACTCTGAACTCTTCCCATTTCTTATAAACCAGGACATGGAAAATGTGTAGCATCCAGCCACCACTCTCCCTCTAATTCTCCTTCCCTAATTGTGCTATCAATACCATAATCAATGCCTGGATTATTATAGTAGATTCTTTTCTGGAACATTCATGTTCCCTTTTGTCCACTATAATGTATTCCGTGAATAGCAGCCAGTGAGGTTATTCCTCTGCTCAGAACCCTTTGGTGGCTTTTGGTTTCACCCAGAATAAAAATTGAGCCCTATCTAGGGCCTGACTTCTGGATAATCCCTTCCCCCATTGTATCCTATCATAGTGGGTCCATAATTTTGTTGCACTTTAGAATAGTTTGGGAGCCTTTTCAAAATCCTGATGCTCAGGTCAGACTGTATTCTCATTAATTAAATAAAGATGTTTAGGGATGAAGGGCCCCTGCAGACTTCAATGTGCAGCACAGTTTGGGAGCCACCTTTCTATCACTTTGCTTCTGGTTTCCTCTGTTCCCTTTTGCCTGCATTGCCCCCCCCCCCCACATTCCATTGCAGGGCTTTATCCTGTCCCCTCTATCTGGAAGGCTTCCTCCTCTTACTGTATTATCTAGCCCCTCATACAGGCTTCTGCTTCTATATACATTGCTGTCAAAGCTGCCCTCTTGGACCAGCCTGTCTAAAAATGATATTTCCTCTTTGCATTCTTGCTTCCTTGAGTTTCATTCTTGACATTTACTTTTACCTTCTATATTTTTGTTTGTTGTCTGGCTCCCTCAACTGGTAAGTGTGGTAGAAGCCTCCTTTCTCTACAGTAACTTTGGTGCTTAGTGCAGTGCCTACACATAATAGGTGCTCAATAAGTGCTTATTGAACTTGGATATAGACTTTTTGTGGCTTCTCAGCCCATCATTACCTCTTGGTGTACTCATACCTGTTTCTCCCTCCCTCCTTCTCTCTCTCTCTCTCTTCCCCTTTTCATTATTATTATATATATTTAACTAGATTGTAGATTGGTTGAAAAATTCAAATATCAGAAAGATAATCCATGAAAAGGCCTAAAGCCGGATGCAGTGACACACACACTATAATCCCAACTACTTACAACACTGAGGCAGGTTCAGGGTCAGCCTGGGCAACTTACTGAGACCTTGTCTCAAAATAAAAAGGACTGG